TCGTAGATGTATATATGCAAACATCAGTTCTATGCGTTTGCCTTTAAATGCACTTTTAATGACTATGTCTCGAATGAATTTCAGCTGATTACTGATGTCGGCGTGTGTGTGTATGAATGAATTCATATTCAATACAGCATGTCAAAGAATTACTGAAAAATTCATTCTAATCGCTGAATAATGATTCTTACCGTTGTGAATGTACTTTAAGCAACATAAATTGCCAAGTTTTTCCACTTGTTCACGTTACCTTCTTCTTATAAGTCAACACTGCTTGTCATTTTCTCATCACTTTCCATTCATGCTTATGGAATCTTTGATATAATGTCATGTTCATATTATGAACAGACGTTTGAATCAACGAACGAATGATAATATACTGATGATGCTCATGATCAGACATATTTTATGACGATTCTCCCTTGAAACTCCCCTGGAAACCACTGCAACTAATGGAATGCACTCATCCTTTTCTGAATTAGTGGAGTGTTTGCTTCCAGAGGAGTAGTGCATCCCTCAGGGGATGCATGGTCTAGAGCGATACCTAAGCGATCATTTCGCCATCGAAAGATCAAACGAGCATAGGATAAGTGAAGTATTCGAACTAATGCTATTCTAATCGTCATATGTGATGATGAAGCCTATTTAGGTACGAACAAAATCTGCTCGAAATGGCTACGTCGCCACCCGAATATATCCGATGCAAGCCATTTACGAGAGTGGAATCAGACGATGAGGATGAAACGGAATCTGATGCTAAAAGGTACATTCTTATAATGATTCAAACTAGTTCATTCGGAATGTATCATTGTTATACATATTGGCTTATAGCATTCATTTTCCGAAATTTTTTATCAGTTTCTTAAAAAGTTCCATTGAAGATTGTTTATTTATTTTATTTATTTAATCAGCAAATACATTTCATTATAAGTTTATATCATCCATATCACTAATATCACATTCTTCCGTCCTTGGTATTCTTTCTTCTACGGAGTTGACGGTGATAGCGTTGGTAATCATCTGTCTTCATGAAATTCTAAATTAAATTATTCACTTGGCGAGCACAGAGGTTTTGGGCTACTCTGCCATATGGCCCAAGGGAGAGGGCAATTGAAGATTAATTTCCAAGAAATATAAGTTTGAACAATCGCAGAATGATGAAATTTTAAAGAATCACCGTCTGCAGTCTCAAGCAACCATTCATATAAGCTGATAGACATTTGTTTCCTCTTTGCGATGGATTCAATCGTTCACCACGTTCTGTTCTATTTTTAGACGACTCGAAATTCTACGAACGCAAGAACTACGGAAGCAATCACGAATTGTCAATATCCCTCGAAAAGGTTGTTTGATCTATAGAAAATGATGCAATTCCATTGAACGATCGATCACTCGTCTAATCAATCGATCCTCTGCAAGATATGAAATTCAGCATTTCCGCAATCGAATATTGTGAAAATAAATTACAGACCCAACAACATCGCATAACATTTTCGAAACCAAAATTTGTGAANATAAGCAAACCTTTCGAAGGCCGCAATCATTTTAGCGTTTCTTATGGACACTTTATATAATCATGCACATATCCATTTATACTTATCTGCTTTGAACCACCGCTTGTACTGTGCTTGAATTTCGTCTGGAAATTTATCAATAGAATGTTGCCACAATCGCGAATCATTGGCAATGATAATGAGACGCCGTCAATTCAGATGATAAACCTTTAAACACAATACCTCGAGGTGATTTGACCGCAATGTTCACTGTACCAAAAGCCCCCAATCACTCATCGTCAATGTTTCGTGATCTGCACTACAGTCAATTCGATCGTGGTCTTTATCAAACCGTCGTACGTTCTTCATCATCCCTCTGTTCATTCTTGCACCGAATGTGATCTGTGCATAGCACATATTTATCATAATGAAGTAGAAAGGGTAACCACATTTCCAGGACCTTTCATAGAGTCACTGAATTTTCTTGGCTAAACAACTACGATCGCAAACATGCACAATCCTTCAAATATTATATCTTCTGAGTGCGAATTTTCGAATGAAAAAAACGTTGAATGCTACAACACATCAACTCATATCTTCCAAATCAACTCAACTGACTGATATCTCGTGACTGAACTAATTTTACTTTTATTGAAGGGCTTTAACACGATGAACGAATCAGAATCGTCTTACGATGCCGAATCGATCGGTAGTTATGGTTCAGTGAAGATCGGTATCGTTTACGACGAGAATCTCAATCTTTTAACCGTTTCACTGAAACAAGCGATTGATTTGAATGCTAAAAGACAGGTGAATGAATTGAACCTTCATTCAAAAACCCATTTTAAAAAGGCATCGTCAAATTTCAAAAACAGTTAAGGATTTCTGGAGCGTTCTTCCCCAAAATTTGAGTCAAAATAGATTCAAAATCGCAAAATATCGAAATTCAGAAGTTGGGTGACGTAAACTATAAATTATGACCTCAGAAAGATCAAAGATTTCACGGAATCTGCGTTTTGAAGTTGATCCGATAGCACTTCAAACATCAATTGGTAATTACTGTTCGACTGATCGATTTAGGACGGCCATCCAAACCCTTACTTTCGAGTACAGCTGGACGTACCATCCAACCAGCCGGACGTCTCACGCCCCATCAAAGAAGCGCCACAACAATCAAAAACTTACAAAGATACATCGTCACCAATTATGAATGATGAATTCTATTTTCAGGTCACTAAAACATTCTCCTCCTTTGACTATTTTGTGAAATTTCAGTTCTCTGCTAGATTACACAGAAGTTGTGGATGTGTGAAATCTAGATATGTTGCGAAGTGCAAGCCAATTAAAGAATATAATGTGGGATTCTATCATTCATAAATGCTGCTATTCCATAACATGACAAGATTTTAGATGTCACTCACATCCCCATGCTTCTGCCATATTCATAATTTGAGATGTCACCAAAAGGGATTGCAAATTTCGCAACAATTGATTGCATTCGATAAAACAACTGTTCTATCCCACAATCACGTCAAATGACC